GTCTATCCCCATATGACGTAAAAGGGTCGGGGGTATGGCCCATCGCTACATGACACTAAACTGCTTAGAGGGCTCTATGGTTGCAGGAGTTAAAACTGCTAACCAACCTTGTTTTTCGAAATATCTTTCTCTTTTCTAATTTTTCACTATATGTCTTGTGTTTTCAAAAAAACTTTGTTTGTTAAAATCATAACATGTCCTTGCTCCGGGTTCTATTTCAAATCTCCCACTATCTTCAAAATTTCTAAAACGTCTTTTAAAACAAAGGAGCTTGGACACCCTTATATGATTACCGCGTTGCCGCGATTGCCGCGTTGCTGCCTCGTCTCTCTCTTCAGAATCGGCTTGACAAGTCACTTCCCATAGAAAGCCTTTTCCTATAGACAACCTTAGGAAACCTTAAGAAAATCAAAGAAGATGCTAGGGTTAAAGATTTCAAACTGAGAAACTCCTGAAGTTAAGTGGCATGGCAAGAAAATTCAACTCGAATTTCAAGCTTGTGTAACTCACCGTATCTCACACCGAAAACCTTAGGACGAAAAATGCCCTAGGTGGGTGAGCTCGATGAGCGCAATGACTTGGAGGGATTACTTGGTGCGCCCGCTAACCATGTGACCTCAGGAAGAAATTTAAAATGGCTGCATTATCTTTGATGCTCATATGCCCCTCGAAGGATAAGGAATGCCAGAGTGTCTACTTCTTTGCCACTCATCTGTCCCTTGAAGGACAAAGAGCACCAAAGAGGGGTAACTGTAGACACCCCATTTTTAATCTTGTAAATTAGGTGGTTTCTTGAACCCTTAGGACCACACTTTCCTAGTAAACCAAAATCCATAGTCCACATAGCCTACCTTGTGACCCAGAACCAATCTGCTTGCCTAGAACCTTGCAGATATCCTGTTTTGACCTAGAATCCTGCAAACGCCCAAAATACTCATTACAAATATTAAAAAAGTCCTTTTTGACCCAAATTTTCTCTGAGAGCTCCACAAGAGGCTAGGGAACACACCCAAATTGGAAATTTTGAATTTGGACAAAGTTTGAATTGGGCAACACTAGCAGTGGCGACACCACTAGTGTCGCCCATCCCCATTTGTCCTAAATTGAATTTTTTCCCTAAGTTTTCGATTCCTTACCTTTTTGTGATTTGCTTAAGCGACACTAGGCGTGTTACCTGGGCGGCACCACTGGTGTCTCCCTGATCTGTACCCCTAAGATTGGGATGGCTTCAGAGAGAGATAAAAACCCTAGAGAAGAGAATTGAAACCTTAGAACAGACTTCTAGCTAAGAAAAACCTAATCCTAACCTTAAGCCTGAAAACCTTAGACCTAGGGCACAACAACCCTAGTTCTAAAACAACCTTTAGGGCACAAAAACCCTTCTATACTAGAGATCTGCTGGTCAACATCCGAATTAAAGAGACAAAGAAGACGTTGGTACTAATACGGGCGAGCCTTCGAAGGCTCGATAGTCCCGGGCCATCCGGCCCGGTATGGTATCGTTCTTTAACCCTTTCTTGTTTTTCCTTCTTATTGTTTGATTTAATTTTATTTTATTTTGATCTATTCATGTGCTTTGAAATCATGTTTTGATGCTCTGGATCATGCTAGCTATGCCACAGATCTGCTCGTTTCCGGACAGATCTGGCCTCAGATCTGAATTCAATTTGTCTCACTTTCTCTACCATTACATTTTCATCAGTTTAAGGTGTCAGGATCCGAGAGATCTGTCAGATTTGCATCGTGAACAATATTCTATCTATTACTAATAAATTCTATTTAGGCTATCAAACATAATTCCTATTGAACATTATTAAATATCGTTAAATTTTTACAAGTCCTTAAAAAAAAAGTAAATTCAGAAATTACAAATGATGAAAGAAATTTTCTTGGTGCACAATCAAAGATGAACTGAAAATGCAAAAAAAAAAAAAAGCAAAAAAAAAAAAGAGAAAAGAAAAAATAGGAATATAGTTTGTCCAATTTTTTTACGGGGTGTGATTTGTGTAGAGTCGAGGCTGTAAACAATCAATGCAAAGCTCACCTTCAAATAGTGTCGAAAAATGTGGTTTCAATACTAGAAATCTTTGTGATAGCCTTAAAATATATTTCATCTTTAGTTTTAAAATTTAACGCTTAAAAAATAGTATCGATCGAGCATATCAATGAAAACTTGAAAATCTTGAAAATTTCAAAAATATGTTACAAGATGCATAAAACTTGAAATCCATTTTTTTCTCATGTCCATCCATCTTGATGTTAAGATGATCAATTTGGCGATATTTGAGCATCCAAACAACCTTTTCTAGTGAAAATTTCAAGGTGGGCTCTAATTTAATTGTTTAGAGCCTCGGCTCTATATAAATTTTTTCCTTTTTTTAATTACCTTTTTCCATTATTGGTTTGGATTTTGGAAGATGTGAAAAGGAAAAACTGAAAATGCAAAAAAAGGAAAAATAATTTTTAAATATATTATTATTTTATTAATAGTCTTTTTATAAAGAAAAGAATCTGTTTAGTATTATGTTATAATTTCAATTCTATTATTTACAAAATAAAGTAGGAAAGAAAGAAATTATTTTTGCATCGTATTACTTTACAGTTTTTACATATGCTAGATTGAGGTGATCGTGAGTTTCACATCCGAAAATAACTAATAAACGTCACATTGCATAAAATAATCTCCTTAAAATCAGGAACAAGTTTTTATAAAGTTGCAGTTTATATACTATTGAAGTAATATACACGTCAAAATTCTCTAGAAGAGTGTTTCTCGATGTTGGAAAACTATCCAATTGATCATTTCGACCTCCAGATGTATTGATATAAAGGAAAGAGAAGAGTTTCATCTTGTAACATCTTGTAACAAGTTATCTAAACCATCTATTTTTAAGATTATCAAGTGATTATAAATAGGGTCAATCTTCCCATTGTTTAACTTAGTTGGACAGTGGTGATTGAAAGATAGTTTTTAATCACCACCGTCCAACTGTGGGTAACTAAAGTTTATATGAGGGCATGCTCATATTTAAACATTAATCTTGTGAAATTTATAACTAGGGACGAAAGTAAACTTTAATCTTGTGAAATTTATAACTAATTTTCAAGCCATCACAAGGTTAAAGATACGAGAACTATATCTCTAAACAAATTTTAGAAGCGTGCCTTACTTTAATATTAGAAAGAATATGCCTTACACTTTTCTTTTTTTTATGGACAATATTATGAAGTTTTATTGCTCAAAATATATTACAAGACTATTAAACATGAAGTAGTTCATCAACGACAATTGTCTTTGCAAGCGACACCCCAAACTTAGCTGAACCATTCGTAATTTCATTTGCCTCCCAATAGGCATGATTAAAAGAGAGAGAAAGTCCTCGACTAAGATCAACCATCTTGGACCCAAATCAAATAAAACCGCCACGGAAGTTTTGAAATTTTGTTGCACCAATTTATAACATTGTGGGAATCGCCTTTTACCATAACTATAGCTCCCTCAAAATTCTTTTTAATACATCTTAGGCCCTGCAAAATGCCACGAAACTCTGCCCCAAAACAGGCGGGATCCAGATTACCAAAAGAGCTTTATAATAAAAGGTCTCATCTTGATAGTACTGATGACAATGAAATATCCATCGGCCTTTTCCAAACTACAAATATACCCTTTAAAATAAACATGACGGCAAAATATTCATTGGCTATTTCAAAACTACAAATATACTTTTTCAAAACTATAAAACTTTGCAAAATCTTATCATGAATCTAGCAAGGATATAGATTAATATCAAGGGTGCAGTTAGCATACAGACGCCTCCGTAGGTGTAGAAGTAAGGTGCCTTTCAAATTTTATCATGGTATATATTTTTGATGTAAAATGTTATTAGGATTATCTCAAAATCTATTTTTATATCTAATTATAAAATTTTAAATTTAAAAAATGTTAAAATCAAGTAGATCTATAAACATATGAAAATCATGAAAATAGACGGTGTAGATAATATGTTGTAAAATGCACTATTTTTGAGACTTAAAATATTTTTCTTTTTCATAGTTATACATCTCGATGTCAAGATGATCAATCAAAGGTTTTTTCAACATTAAAACTACCTTTTCCGATGAATTTTTGAAGGCATCCATAGTTCTACATTATAAGGTTGCATCCTTATATAAACTTGTCACCTAGGCATTTTTCAGAGGTTTTCCAAGAGCCTGTATTTAAACTAAATCGCTGCATTTTAATGGGGTGAAAATTTGGGGTTTCAGGCAAACCTAGCCTAAAAGCCCTAGTTCAAAAGATTGAATTTGGGAGCATAAAAATCTTGACTTTTCTTTCTGAGTGACTTTCTTTAAAATTTGCTCTTTGCACACAGTTTTCTGCTAATACCACCCAAAAACTCAGTGCACATACCATTGGTGGAACATCAACAATCCCCTGTATAATATTATCCTCTTTATATATACATATATTGGTCAAAATTAAAGGGAATTTGTTGTTTAGTGCACGGACCCTTGCTGCTCCCTTACCCCGCTTTTTGCACGCAACAAATTCACACACACTCTCTCCCTCCCAACGCCTTTGGAGGGAGTCTCTCACTACAATACTACATGCATTCTAGAGAGAGATAAACATACATTCTAGAGAGAGATAAACATACATTCTAGAGAGAGAATGAGAGAAAAGAAGAAAGGAAAAGAAACATTCTAGAGAGGGAATGAGATAAAAGAAGAAAGGAAAATAAACATTCTAGAGAGAGAAAAGAAGAAAGGAAAAGAAACATCCTAGAGAGAGAAAAGAAGAAAGGAAAAGTAACATTCTAGAGAGAGAAAATAAGAAAGGAAAAGAAACATTCTAGAGAGAAAGAAGAAAGGAAAATAAACATTCTAGAGAGAGAAAGGGGGAAAAGAAGAAAGGCAAAGAAACATTCTAGAGAGAGAAAGAGAGATAAAAAGAAGGAAAAAAAAACATTATAGAGAGAAAAAAAAGAACTAAAAAAAAAAGACACTGGGGGAAACAGAAAGCCCATACTCAGAAAAAAGGAAAGAAAAAAACATGATACGTTTCTGAGAGCTGGGTTTTATGGAATCCTGCAAATGCTGGCAGGAGTGAAGCCCTGAGTACATTTCTAGGGCAGCATCGCTGATCTTCATCATCCCACGCCGTGTGAGTACAGTACCATTCTTCTAGCTCATTTTCGCTGAAAAGCTGTACTATTTTATACCTTTCTTTCCTACTTTTATGATTAATGGTTTGGAGTTGTCTTGAAATGGGATGTGTATGAATGGGTTTCGTGAGGTTGATTGGTTTCAGATCCGTATTCTATTCTGTCACAGTTCTATGCAAGAAATTGACTGGTACATCCAGTTGTTGGAAAAGGAACGCTAGATTAAAAGCAATGATCCTGTGTGTGATGTTCCATTAATTTGTTACCCGGTACTAGACTGTCAAGAATGACGCACGAAGTCGAAACATTTTACCCAATTTGAAGGCCTCCAGATTGAAATCCTTGCTGTAAACAAAGGATCACACCAAAGTTTTCTGTGGCACTGATTTCTTTCTCCACTGGTTCATTTAAGGAACCGCCATTGTGGAGATCAATACAAAGGGGCTCAGTTTTTGGGGAAGAATTCCTTCCTTCCCCTCAGGTTTAGTTGAGGTTCAGAAACAACTATTTTTGAAGATCAATTCAAAGGAGTTGGGTTTTGTGGGCAGGTGAATTTCCGTAAGTATGATAAAACAGATATTGGGTAGGCTTCCTCGAAAGCCTTCCAAGTCATCTGAGAACAATGAAGCAGGAGGGAACCCTGCCACTAATGCTTCCCCAGCGGCCATGGCTTCGCCCTCTAACCCCTCTAACAACTTACGAGGCAATGGTGGTAATTTCAGGGCATCAAATGTCACGACTGCTTCTCGCGGTAGTAATGCAGGCCCCACATTGTCAAACTCATTAGCAGGGTCCAGGTCTAACCATGGGAAAAAGCCAAACTCAATTGTTCCAAATGCCAACAATAACACCACCTTCGGTTCCTCTGCGTACGAAGCATTGCCTGGTTTTAGAGATGTTCCAAGCTCTGAAAAACAAAACTTATTCATAAGGAAGCTGAACATGTGTTATGTTGTGTTCGACTTTTCGGACCCTGCAAAGAATGCGAAGGAGAAAGATGTGAAGAGGCAGACATTGCTCGAGCTCGTTGACTATGTGACTTCTGCAAGTGGGAGGTTTACTGAGGTCTTGATGCAAGAGATCACAAAAATGGTGGCTATCAATTTATTCAGGACCTTTCCTTCTTCAAACCATGAAGGTAAAGTACCAGATGCCTATGATGGTGAAGAGGAAGAGCCAACTATGGACCCTGCATGGCCACACTTGCAAATTGTGTATGAATTCTTGTTAAGGTTTATTGCCTCGACTGAGACTGATGCCAAGTTGGCAAAGAGGTACATCGATCACTCATTTGTTTTGAGATTGCTTGATCTTTTTGACTCTGAAGACCCTAGAGAGAGAGAGTACTTGAAAACCGTACTACATCGAATCTATGGGAAGTTCATGGTGCACCGCCCCTTCATTCGTAAGGCTATCAACAACATATTTTACCGATTTATTTTCGAGACGGAAAAGCATAATGGGATTGCCGAATTGCTAGAGATTTTGGGCAGTATCATCAATGGGTTTGCTTTGCCATTAAAAGAAGAGCACAAACTTTTCCTTGTTCGAGCTCTGATTCCTCTTCATAAACCAAAATGTGTTTCCATGTATCACCAACAACTCTCTTATTGCATCACTCAATTTGTTGAAAAGGATACCAAGCTCGCAGACACTGTGATTAGGGGTTTGTTGAAGTATTGGCCAATTACAAATAGCTCCAAGGAGGTCATGTTCCTGGGAGAGCTGGAGGAAGTTTTGGAAGCGACTCAGAGTGCAGAGTTTCAGCGATGCATGGTGCCTTTGTTTCGTCAAATTGGGCGCTGCCTTAACAGTTCACACTTTCAGGTAATGTTATTATGATCATGACATTTTGTGGTGCATCATCATTGTCACCTGAGATTTATTCCAGTTATCTGGGATTGGCTACACGAGCCTTATCCAAACTATTTGTGGTGCATGCATGTAAAAACGACTATATATATTAGGCATATGCTTCCTTCTTTTCAAAGTTTTGGATGCTCTGGGTTGCCATTTTTATAACATCACACTGCATATATCAATTGATTTAGGTTGCTCGGTTGCATTTTCTTCACAGTGCTATTCATTTTGGCTTCTATGTAACTAATAACAAGAGAAATTGGACACTGCTACTTTTCTACATCGTACTTTTCATGCATTCCCTTTGTTCTGATTTGTAGTGGATAAGTTTCTTTTTCTTTTCTTTTCAAGAAACGCTCAGGAAGCTTAATCATTATTGGGTTACTGCTTCAAAGCATGTAAACATGTGTGCCATTCTTATCCGTTGGCTGGCATGTTGTGGGTTGAGGATTTGCTTACATCCTAAACAACATCATAGGTAATGTGATTTCTAGCTCTACAATAGCTCATATAACCTCATAACAATTTGCAGTAAATCATCATATTTCAAACAATTATAAATATTATATTTTTCATATTTCTTTAGAAGATTCTACAAAACATCTAGTTATGGTACCATGGCGGATCAAAAAAGAAAAGTAGTTGGGCATTTTGCGATCTTCAGGTAGAGGTTTGTTCCCTTCAGGTTTAAGAAGCAAAACCAAATACAGCTTGTAATAAACATGCATGTTTGTTGAGCCTTGCATGCATCCTGAGATTGTCTTCTTTAAGTTGTGCTTGCTAGCTTGACTAGTCAATAGAGGGAGGACATCTCCCTCTAGCTGCTAGCATGTGCCAAGCCTGAAGCACAAAATATGTGCACATATAAGAACAGAGAGAATGAATGGATATGTAGAGTTATTGTTTGTGAGTTGTATCTTTTGTTTTCTATCTAAGATTGAAATCTTGGTGTATTCACTGCATCTTTTCATATTTATTGGGCTTAAAGTATGAAGTTTGCTGCATTCTGAGATTCATTGACTTGATTTGTTATTTCCCAAAATATGTTGTTTAGTTTCTTTTTTAAGTAACTGAAATGTGCTAGGTTTTGTTTTAGCTTCACTGAAAACTTAGGAATGCTATGTACTACTCATTAGCTCAGGCAAGAATTATGTTAGGTCCTTTCCCTTTAGGACCCCATGTCTCATGGCTTAGTAATTTAATGCACCCATTTTATTTCTATTATTATTTTCCAATATATACGTCTGTCTGTTTGTACACCTAAGTCCAACTTACTCTGTGCTGTACTATATGAGTCATGAATGCTTATGCCATAAAAAAAGAGAACTTCTTTGGGTGGTTCGATTTCTTTTGGCCATATTGTTGAACAGTTACATTGAGTGCTGTAACTTCATTTTGGTCCTTTGGTTAATCTAGTGAAAGGTTAGTATACTTGTACATAAGTAAAAGAAATGTAGCAACCAAAAACAAAATAAATAAATGAAAATAGAGGAGCAAGGGCCAATAAGGAGAGAGGGAGAGAGAAGGCATAAAGAAAGGAAGGTTTTGAGAGAGAGAGAGAGAGAGGGAAGAGGAGGAGGAGGAAGAAGAAGAAGAAGGTTTTACTGAAAAATAGTGGAGGGAGAGAAAAGAAAAAGAGAATATCTAATGAGAAATTAAGGAGAAAGGAGGATTTAGTAGAAGAGAGAAGATGAGATCTATGCTATAGATATGGGTCCTAATGATGGAGGCGGGAGTGGGACCGGGACCAGATCCTGCCCTATAATGGAAGCTCGGCGTCTGTACAATGAACAAGATAAGGAGGGAGATTAGGTTTATGGGAGCGAGATCCAATGTCAATGGGTTTGATGTTTTGACTCGTAGGAATCTAAGCTCCACTTTACAAAAAAACGAGGTTGTAAGTGGAGCTAGTTTGAGTTCCCTTGGTTAAGGAATCGAGGTTTAAGAATGTCATATAACTAGGTTCCTCTTGTTCTAATATCAAGATTTTTAAAGTATAGGAATCAAGGTCCTTAGTTGATTGGGCTCGAGGTCCGCAAGTGTCATTTACCTGGGAGCCCTTATCAAGTGCCCCCTGCCCTTAACAATGATTTTATTCATTTTTGCGTTATTTAATGGATTAATTATGTAGCTCTATAAGTTGGTCTTTCTTATGACCACTAATCTTCAGGCCAAGAAACAAGTTTGGCATGTACCATTCCTTCTAAGTCCCTTGCAAACCAGAATCCTACCATTCAAGAGTCATCTTCTTTGAATGTAGTCTCCTCTGCTTCCATTGTTTCTCAAAGGCTAGCTCTTCGAAGGGACAAGAGGACAAGATGAACTACTCTCTCTCTCCCTCTCTCTGACTAATATAAAAGAAGCTTTTTAAAGCTTGAAATGAAATCATATATTTTCATCTCACAACTGTGATCAGATTTGAGACCCTAAAACAATAGGACATTCATAATATAGAATTTTAAATGAGATATATATTCTCACAATAAAGAGGGATGACTTACACAATAGAGCTTAATAAAACAATGTGTCACTCTGGACTATGCCTAGTTGAAATTAGAATCTAAAATAATGGAACTTCATGCTATGCGAAAAAGGGATTGGATTTTAACATCACGGAACTTATGATTCCTAAATAGTGGGAACTTCAGACAATGGCAATCTCTAACTTGATATCATCTGTTAATGAATGGAACCCAAGATTTGAACATACTAAAGCCTTGGACCATGGTTAATGGGAGCGGGGATCTATTTCGAAGTGGAACTGGATTCCATTGATGGATGGAACTTGGTCCCCTTTTTTTGGGAGCGAGATCCCAAAATCGAAAAAATGAGGTCCTTACAAGATCCCTTGCATGAACCGTGGGATCGAGGTTCCGGAGCGGGATCGTCACCCACCCACAAGGTTCTCTTAACTATGTTATGGGTGATAATGGAGCAACATGGCACAATCAAAATCTCTTAAGAGAATAAGGCAACAACTCTTATCATTTGTTGTCATAAGGCATTTCTTATTCCTGATGTGGCTTGTACTGGTGCTCTATCTAGTCAAATAGAATAAGCAAGGTCTTAAAATGCAAATAACAAATAAGTTAGGTTTTTTGACGTGATAGCCCATTATACACATGCATGCACACACACAGAGAGAGAGAGAGAGAGAGAGAGAGAGAGAGAGAGAGAGAGAGAGAGAGAGAGAGAGAGAGAGAGAGAGAGAGAGAGAGAGAGAGAGAGAGAGAGAGAGAGAGAGTAGAGTAGTAGTACGTACGTACGTACTACGTAGTAGTTACGTCGTACGTCGTACTACGTAGTACGTACGTACGTACGTACGTACGTACGTAACGTCGTAC